TTGTGGTCGGGTTCCCGGCCGGCTTGTCTCCCACTTCTTTTCATTTGCTTGAGTTGCTGCTGGGGATCTAGCTGCACAAGGAAGAGCGTTTGAGGAGAGAATTCCCATTGAGCAAGTCATGGCCAAAGTTCCCACAGAAAAAGAACAGAAGAGACGCTATTTGATGCATCTCCCCTATGCGGCATGGTGTCCTTCATGCATCAAGCACCATGCAAAGCAGGATCAACATCGAAGAACGGGAAAATCTCATGAGCAGGGTATCCCAGCTATTTCTTTTGACTTCTGCCGAGTTCGAGCCACTGGACCAGGTGCTTTGGGAGAAAAGGAAGCAGATGAGGCCGAAGCAGGGGTTGCTGAGGAAGGAGGAGCTCTTTTGTTGGTTGCCGTATGCTCAGAGACCGGGTCACTGATGGCATTACCCCTCAAGACCAAGAATCAGATGTCGTTGATCACACATGAGCTGATGGCTTTTACGCAGGTCCTGGGACACGAGCAGGTGGTCTACTATGCCGACAACGAGCCTACCACCCACCAGATTTTGAGACTCTTGGTAGCTTCTCGAACTGCTGCAGGACTGGAGGATCTGGCAAGCAGAATTGGATTGAGGTTCAGTTGTCAACATCCATTGTGGAGCTGGGCATGTCGCCATAGTGCTTGGTTGATCAACAGATACCAACCTTTCAAAGGAACTACAAGCTACGAGCTCGCCCAGGGCAAGACCTATGAGGGAAAGATTAGTCCCTATGGTGAGGTGTGCTTCGCCGACACCAAGCCCAAGCAAGGTTTCAAAGGTGATGCGAGACGGAAAGTGGGCATTTGCTTGGGGAAGACCGATCTCCAAGACAACTGGATCATTGGGGATGGAATCGCATGTTCCTAAGCCGGTCTGTGAGAAGGGTGGCCAATTTGAGCAAAGAGTACTTGGCATGCTTTCAAGGCTTCACTGCACACTGTTGGGAATACCAGCAAAACCTCGGTGGCAGAATTGTTCCTTCGAAGAGACTTGCGTCCATGGTGGGAGCTCCAGCTAGCGTGTCGTTTCCTGAGGTGGCAGATGATGACCAAGATGCCAAAGAGGTCATTGCTTTCAGCAAGTCACTTGCTGGCAAGGTAGAAGAAGCTCGAGATCTAGTGAGCCCAGAAGTGACAGAAGAACAAAAGAAGGAAGCGTCACAGGTGAAGAGTTCTGGAGTGGAAGCTGAGGAGGAGCGCATCCGTGAAGATAAGAAGCACTCCTACGAGGAAGAGCCCATTCCAGAGATCATGCCCGTGGTGGAAGACCCTAACAAGATTGATGAAGACCGAAGCGAAGCAGGACCTTCAACGCCGAGACCTTCTTCGCAGAAGACAAGGGCACCTTCAGGAAGTCTTGAGCCTGAAGGCAAGAAGATGAAGCAAACTGTTGTGAAACCAGTGCGTGAGTTAGAGAGTGAGTCATCAGCCTCGAAAAGATTCAAGCCGGATCCGGCAATGGAGAGAAGACTTGAGACGACGCAAGTTGGTGATGACTTCTTTTACCGCTTTGACAAGGTGGTGGGTCAAGAGGAGCTGTGGGCGTATGAGTATGAGGTCCATGAACAAGAAGAGGAAGAGAAGCATGAAGTGCCGGAAGCCCTGTGGTCAGACGCTCCCCTTGACCGCGCACCACCAGATCCGCCAAAGTGGATAGAGGACCTGGCAGACGCAGTGGAGGAATGGCGCCTGAAGAGACTTGGTGTTTTGGAGCCGATTGAAGAGCTGAAGGAGAACCACAAGCTCCTGACTACAAGACTTGTGAGAGATTGGCGCAACAAGCCAAATCCTGCAAAGGAAGGCTCTCCAAAGATGTTCCTGAGGCGATCACGGCTAGTTGCCCGTGAGTATGCCAAGCAGCAACTGGTTCACAGACGCTGAGATTGATTCCAGCGGTCTACTTGATGAAAAAGTTGGAGGAAGAGAGTGGTGGACCGCGCTTTGTTTTGGGAGCATTGGATGTCAAAGATGCTTTCCTGCAGGTGCCACAAGAAGAGCCGACCCAAGTCACAACAGCAGGTGGCCATTTCCTTGTCAAGCGCAACTTGCCCGGGCAGCGCATTGGAGCAAAGGCATGGTTTGGGCGCCTGACAGCTTGGTTGAAAGACTTTTTGTTTTCGCAGATCAACCCATGTCTTGGTCGCATGGCAGACAAAGCTGTACTCCTCATACACGTCGACGACATTTTGTTTTCTGGAGAAGCGGGATATGTAGAAAAAGAGTTGCCTCCAGAACGAGCTTTGAGATCTCAGTCCAGTACGTGACAGAGCCTGGAACGTCATTTCAGTTTCTGAGAAGAACCTATGAGCTCACTGATACTGGGCTGAAGATCACGCCAGGAAAATACGCAGAGACAATGATTGAGACCTATGAAGGGACTATGGGCAAGGTGAAGACACAGAAGCTACCTTGTACTCAAGAGACGCTTGAAGCGGATGGCGCAATGTCTTGGACGAGGAGGTGGCAAGCCTCTACCGATCGATTGTGGGTTGTGGCATAAATCTCTCTTACGAAAGGCCAGACGTCTCTTTCGCGATCAAGGAGTTGGCTGGATCCATGGCAAATCCCACAACAGGCAGTCTTCGCAAGCTCAGTCGACTAATCGGCTACTTGAAGGGCACATTGGGCCAATACACGATGCTGGAGATGGCAGAGCCAGGCAAAGGTTTAGTGCTGTTAGAAACTTTCAGCGACAGTGAGTGGTCAGGCCCTAAGAGCCATAGAAGGTCAACTTCGTCAGCAATCCATGTGGTGAATGGAGTTGTGGTGATGACCAGTTCACGTGGACAGAAAGCAGTCAGCCTATCATCAGCAGAGGCTGAACTCAATGAGGAGATGTCTTGAGTTTTTGGTGGATGGGGTGATCGAACACGACTGCCTAGTCCGGTCCACGTCAGCCATAAGCGGGGGCCAGGAAAGCTGCGACACATTGATGGGAAGCTCCTATGGATTCAGGACTTGGTGGCTCAGAAAGTCCTGAATGTCAAGCCAGTGACCTGGGCACCAAACCGCTCACCAAAGCGAGAATCAATTCGATCTTGTGTTGGCGCAACACCTATGATGGTCAAGGTCATCGCGTTGGCCAAGAAGAGCATGACAGGTTGGGTGATGGGAACGTCGCCTGTGGCAAGATCCAGAAGCTTGCAAAACTCCTGCATCGCATTGTGCTTCTAGATGGCCTTGAGCATGTGGCCGGAGAACGACTTCGAGAAGGAGCAGGAGAAACGATAAAGTCATCGAGCAACTGGATGATGCTGCTGGTTGCAATGCTGATGGCAATTGTGATTTGCTTTTTGGCGTCATCGTCGACGATGCCAAGGTGGATGGAATGATGATTGGTGCCTATGGCCATGAAGTGCGAAAAAGAATCAGAAACGTGAGGAACTACATCCAGCGGGTGCACAAAGGCTTGATCAAAGCTTCGGGCTACATTGACCCTGAAGATGTGGGGCCATGGGAATGGCTCTATTAAGACTACATCCAAAGGTCCAACAAGGACTTCGATTGCAGGCCTACAAGGAAGAAGAGTCCAAGCGGAGCAGTGGACGCATTCGACTACCTGATGGCAGGCCTATATGGAAGAAGAAGGAGAAAGTGAAGGCCTATCTCCAACCACGAGAGCCAGAAAGTGAAGAAGAAGTGGAGAACATGGCAGTCGGTGGAAAGAAGTGAGGCGCCTAGCTCCAGTGGTCAAGACGACCCTACCATGAGTGGAGCGACTGCAGGTCGCATCCGAGATGGACGAATTTGGTTTTTGAAGACTTTGGACCAACCAAAGCTTCGAGCAATCCTGCGAGCCAGGCAGCATCTTTTGCACTTAGAGAAAGAGTGGTGGGGGGGCCAACACAAGAGGGACCATGAACTGAAGTTTCAAATTTACAAAGACACGGATAGCCACTATCCCTTCTTGGATGCCCCCGGCTTCCCAGACTAAAAGGTCATAGAGGAAGCACAGATCCATGGAGATCCTTTGCTGCCCTCTATGAAGGAGGAGTGCTGTTCAGGCCCGTTCAGCTTTGTGAGAAATGTCCGCAGAAAACTAATCGTATCAGCTATGGTTTTTGAAAGCAAACCTTTTGGACAGGTTTTAGCACCATAGCCGGATATGACACCTAGGGTTTAAGATGTCCCACGCAAACGAATGTACAGTGGGCTGCGCCTCAGAAGCTTCAGACACCGAATGCTGGCATGAGGCGTGAGGTATTTCATGCTGGCGCTGCAGGAGCCTTTTGTATCATTCTTGTGTGGTTTTGTGAATGCGCGTCTGGACGTTCAATGAGCCCAGTGCGTTGCAACTTTTGGTTCAGGCTGTTTACCGCCCGTTCGCATCTGCCAATATCACACAAACCAGTTCCGGTCATGTCTGCGTTTGCTTCATCCCAAATTTGATCTCTCCGCTCGACTCCTGACTAGCCATGGTGTCAAGATTGCTTGTGTTTGTTCTTCTTCATCACGTGTGCTTGGCCCTTGATGCGGAGGAACAGGACTCGCTGCGGGCGGTTCTAAAGGCCTTGGGGTATGAGGACATCGAAGGGTGCGTGGCCGAGTGCGACGCCAAAGACGAGTGCTGCGAAGACAGTGTGACCATTGTAGACGCACATGTGGAAGGCATCTACTTGCAGGAACAGAACTTGTCAGGTGAAGTGCACGGCAAGATTTGCGCATTTAAGAAACTTAGATTCCTATATTTGCACGATAATAATCTTTATGGAGATATTCCGCCATTTGCAAGCCTGACGAGTTTGAAGACTTTAGACCTTTCCCAAAATCGATTTACAGGAAAAATTCCACGGATGCCCTCGGGCTTGAGAGAGCTGCGTTTGTCCAACAATTTCTTGGAGGGCGAGATACCACAGCACCTTTCAGAGCTCAAAGAACTTGAAGATTTGACGCTTGCAGGAAATGGCTTACAAGGAGAGATCCCTGCAAATCTGCGTTCGCAGAGGTTGAGTCTTGCGCGCAATAATCTCACAGGGCCAATCCGCAAAGAGATGTGCCATGAACGTCTGAGCGGATTGTTTCTGTCAAACAACAAACTGGTGGGAAAGATACCACAAGAGTTGCTCGAGTGCCCGAGCATCAAGCGGTTGGACCTTGCCAACAACAAGTTGAATGGAACGGTGCAAACCACTCTACCGAAGCTCATGCAAGAACTTCGTTTGAACAACAACAACCTCAGCGGCGAAATTCCAGCTGAGCTGATGCAAGCCCCGGAATTGACCCTGCTTCGCCTCGATTGCAACAACTTCAGCGGCAGCGTACGGGCGCTCACACTTCCGAAGGTAAAGACGCTGGATATGTCGGAGAACCACCTTGAGGGAGAAGTTCCATCAGAGTTGATCGACCTCAAGGAACTTGAGTACCTCAGCCTGTCTAACAATGAGTTCAAGGGCAAATTGCCCAACTTGAGCAATTTGATGAATCTTAGGAAGGTGAGTTTGGGCCACAACAAATTCAATGGGGAGTTTCCAGAAAGCTTTTGCAAGATGCAAAAGCTTTTCTCCTTGCAGCTTCGCAACAACAAGTTTGGCGACAGACTTCCAGAGTGCATCTCCGAAATGCAGAGTTTGGTGCATTTGCTTCTCAGCGGCAATCGCTTTGAGGGCAGGGTCCCAAGCTTGTCCAACTTAAGTCGTCTTACAGTTCTGACCTTGGATTCGAATCGGTTTTCTGGGCCGATGCCAGATCTTCCTGTGGCCAAATTGGCCGTTGTGACACTGCACGACAATTCATTTTCTGGTGAAGTAAAGAGTTTGCGTCTTCACTCCGAGTGCGTAGACAACGCCAACTTCGACTTCTTCGGGCGTTCTTGCGTGAAGGTTGGCAACGAGATTCATGAATGGGGCCACAGGTGCTGTGAGGATCTGATGGCAACGTATAAGGTGGACATCGAGCAGCTTCTGGTGAACTGCCCCCAAACTTGTAACTTCTCTAAAAGCTTGACCTGTGACAAGCATGGCCTCAAACCCAAGATCACGTTGCACGGCAATCATTTCTGTGGCATTTTGCCTGAGACGATCAGCGAGGACGATTCAGTGGTGGTCGCTACTGCGCTCATGGGCAATATGTTTGGCAATGGTACGGAAATGATGGTACATTGGCTTCGAAACGAAGCGATGCAGCAGTTTCTTTTTTTCTCACCGAACACCTATTGGAGTGAGAAGTGGATTGCCGGAGAATTTCTTGTTCTATGCATCGTTTTCCTGGAGATTGTCCTCTGCAGCCCATTTTGGAGGAGGCTACGATTAGCCGTTGAGGAAGAGCGTGACAAAGAGGCTATGGGGGTGGCCAGCTCTTACAGGCAGACCATGCTCATGGCCACTTGTAGCATTGCATTTTGCTGCGTCACTCTGCCGGCCTTCATTTTGGGCAGCAACTTCTACCCCAGGTATGGCCAATACCTTCCCCGTGCGTCGGCTGCATACCTTCAGGAAGCATGGTTGGAGGTGGTCATCATCGTTCTCTGGTGCCTTTGGAGTGGTTTCTTTCGCATCGCTATCAGTACGTGGCCAGTGCCAGATTGGAGTCAAAGCCTCAGCGCACCTCACAGCATATACTTCTCCTGCAGATTGATTCTTGACAAGCTGCCTAAGTAATTCAAAAGGCTTAAAGTAGACAGGGTTGAGGTGTCTAACTGTCAAACACCATCAAAGCACAAGCAATACCTAAACAGCCTGAGGATTAGACTGGGATGTAGCGCATCGGTACACTGTCAGACGTCCCTGACCGTTTCAGATGACACAGCTTCGTTGGCCAGTGTCGTGATTTTGGTTTTCGAGTATGCCCTCCAATGAGCTAGCGTCGCAGGGGGCATGCGGCTATTACGCAAACATGCAAACGAGGCTATGCTATACATAATGGTGGAGAGCGGACTTGATCACTCCGGTGTACTTGCTCAGACCATAACTCTTTACTCCCCACTGGGTCCCATTCCAATCTGGGACAAACAATGGCAGGCCCGTGCAGAAGAAGCCAAAACGCTCCCTTTGAACTCCGATGGTACGCGCGCACACGCGCCCACACTCTCGGGATACAATACGTAAAGCCATGAAATGTAGTTTCAAGTCCGATAGCCAAGAAAGTTTCAAGTCCCCGCAATCATGGAAGCGCCGGGTTTCCAGAGTTCAAGCGCCTCGAAGCGTGCCTGTGGTGAGCAAACGAGGCAAAGGTCCAAGGTTCCTTATGACCAGAAGGGCTACACATCGGAAGGCCCACGCCGAGAGAGGGTGTACGGCATTCTATATCACAGTGAAGACGAAGGAGGGTTGCGGAGTGTGGTAAAGGGAGAAGTTTGCGATGAAGGATGGTCTGATGTGGCCAAGGAAGTCCTTTGATGTGAGTGAGTCCAGCGGCAGCGGTGCGTAGGGCCAGGGCGATGGAGCAGCTAGGTAGTGGATAGAAAGGGTCGAGCGCACTAAGAGTCCGAACCGTTTCAGATGACATCACTAGATTCGTTGGCCAGCGTCGTGATGCCATTGGCTGGCCCGCGCAGAAAAAGCCCAAAGGCTCCCTGTGAACTCCGATGGTACTCACACTCAAGATGTTGCGCGCTGAACTGATCACCCCAAGCGCCTTAAGAAACCTAAGTGAGAAATTGCCTGGGCAAAACAGGTGGTATGTAACGCGGTCTAACTCAAACCATCTCGATATCCTGAACGCCACAAAGGCTGGATGAGGTTTTCTATTTACAAGCAGGGCCCATAAGGGAACAAGGCTAAGCACATCAGCAGGTACGTGATCCCAGCGTCCCAGGATGATATCAGCCATGGAATGTGCAGCCCTCTTCGTTGGACAGCCAATTTTTTCTCCTAAATTCCAACAAAGGAACGCAATACACAATCGAAGGATTCCCTGTGACTTGACGGGTTTCACACACTCATGGATATGCGTACTGACTGGATTGCGGTGCCACACGCCAGCCTAAGAAACCCAAATCCTGAAAGGTCCAGGAAAGTCCTAGAGAACCTGGAGGTCTGTAAGAAGAGGTGAGGCCAAAAGCTCAAGGTCGAAGACGGCGAGCGAGTCGAAAATGGTGACGGCGGCTCGTGCACGTCTGCAGAAAGTGAACCAAAGCTCTGAACAAAACCGTGTCGTGAGGTTCTTGGCTTAGCCTCGCGCCATGCGGAAAATCGGAAAATTTGCAGGTACACAATGTGGCGTCCCACATTGCTTCACCACGAGCTGACAGTGTCTTCGTTGGGTAGTGTCTGTCAGTCGCGCACTACCCCCCTGCTAAAATCCAAAAGGATCCCTATGATTCCAAGGGTTACACACACACGCCTCCCCGAAGGGAGGCATGTGTGACCTCGATCCTGCCCGGAAAGGAGGTAGGCACATGTGCACGCAAAAGGGACAGATGAAAATGAGAAGGACAAGACAGACAAAGGTGTGTGTGGTTGCCGATGAAAAGAAACCAAATGAAGAGGGACAACCGATGAGCCAAACCTCATTGTAACGAACCTGGGCCACCTGAACCTCGCTGTAAGTAAAGTACGCGTGCGTGTATGTGTACAAACTAAGGTCCGGACGAAAGTGCGCGCAAGAGAAAGAAAGGATGAGGATGAAGAGACATGAAGACAGAAAGACATGAAAGAAAAGAGGAAAAAACCATCTGCGGGGGCCGATGAAAGGGGAACCAAATGAACGGGAACAAACCGATGACAAACCAAACCTCATTGGAAAAACCTGTTGCAGAAGCCTAGTTTGTTTGTAAACACGCCGCGCGCGAGGAAAGAGGGGGCAGGGGGAGGAAGAAAAGAGAGGGAAAGAAAGAAGGAGACAAAGGTGCTCCCAGCTACGACACAAGCGTCCAGGGACACACCAAAAAGAAGGGTTCCCAGCTATGACGAAGCGTCCAGGGACACCCAGGGAAGAAGGTGAAGAGAGGAAAGAGAGAAGGAAAGAAAGAGAGAGGGAGAGAAAGGCTACGAACAATCGCCCAGGGACACACCCAAGAAAGAGAGGGGTGATCCTGAGTATAAACCCCAGAAAGCAATCAAAGAACGGGGGAGGGAAGGGGGAGAAGGGGGGCTAAGTGCTCGACAGGTTCCAATGAACCTAAAACTGGCTTTGACCGCTATGGTCACCTTGTGCCTTGCCGAAACGGCTGGCTGCTTTGACCGCTGCGGTCACGTAAAGGCATGAGCCAACTTGGAATTCCAAAGATGAGACAAACATCCCAGTTCTTGAGGCATAAGCCAGCTACTGCCCGCTGTGGGCACGTACGTTTCCGGAGCAAAGGAAACAGCGACGTACACCCGTTCGACGGGTCCACGGGAGGCACTCTGCGGGCTCATCCCGGGTTGGCGCGAAGCCAAACACACTCATGGATATGCGTACTGACTGGATTGCGGTGCCACACGCCAGCCCAAGAAACCCAAATCCTGAAAGGTCCAGGAAAGTCCTAGAGAACCTGGAGGTCTGTAAGAAGAGGTGAGGCCAAAAGCTCAAGGTCGAAGACGGCGAGCGAGTCGAAAAGGGTGACGGCGGCTCGTGCACATCTGCAGAAAGTGAACCAAAGCTCTGAACAAAACCGTGTCGTGAGGTTCTTGGCTTAGCCTCGCGCCATGCGGAAAATCGGAAAATGTGCAGGTACACAATGTGGCGTCCCACATTGCTTCACCACGAGCTGACAGTGTGTTCGTTGGGTAGTGTCTGTCAGTCGCGCACTACCCCCCTGCTAAAATCCAAAAGGATCCCTACGATTCCAAGGGTTACACACACACATGCCCCCCACAAGGGGAGGCGCGGAGGAACTAAGGTCAAGACGAATGTGCGTGTGTGCGCGCGAGAAAGACAAACAGATGAGGACGTGAAGGGAGGACGGGACAGACCGTGTAGAAACCAAGTGACCGGGGACAACCGATGAACCCAACCTCCTTGTAACCACCCGTGCGTCCAAGGTGCGCGCAAAAGAGAAAGAGGATGAGGCGCCAAGACATGAAGACAGAAAGACATGAAACGAAGGAAAAGAAGGTGTGTAAAAGGGGGGAAGGATGAAAGGGGAATTCTAGACCGCGTGAGAGAAACCTAGGTAGACCTGGCCTCGTTTAAACTGTACACGCTGTGTGCGCGCCTAAGGTTCCGACAGGCCCCAATGGGCCCTGAAAGTACTTTGGCCGCGGCCACGGTGCGCCCTGCCAAAAATGGCGGGCAGCTTTGACCGCTATTGTCACCTAATGGCTTGCGGGTTCACCCTGGGCTGGCATGAAGCCAGACACATTCAAGATTTGCACGCTGAACTGATCGCCCCAAGCGCTTGAAGAAACCGAAGTGAAAAATTGCCTGGGTAAAGCAGGTGGTATGTAATGGGGTCCAACTCTAACCATCTCAAACTCCTGAAATACTAATGCGTGAAAACCTCCACCTCCATATTGAAAGCGACAGCAACTTGGCACTGCAGCGAGGTAACCGCTGCAAAGGCTGGATGAGTTGTTCTAATTACAAGTAATGACCATAAAGAAATAGGCTTCAGCGCATCAGCAGGTACGCGATCCACCGTCCCAGTATCATATCAGCCATGTTCGTTGGACAATCAACTGCATCCATGGGGTTGTCCCCCTGCTAAATTTTCAACAAAGGAACACATTACACAATCGAAGGGCTCCCTGTGACTCGAAGGGTTTCACACACACAAAGACAGTTGGGATACAGTACGTAAAGCCATGAAATGTAGATAGCCAAGAAAGTTTCAAGGCCCCGCAATCATGGAAGCACCGGGCTTCCAGAGTTTAAGTACTGCGAAGCGTGACTCCAGCAAGCAAACGATGCAAAGGCCCAAGTCTTTGTTCTAGTTTGGAACGGGACCCAGTGGGGAGTAAAGAGTCATCATCAGAGCAAGTACATCGGAGTGATCAAGTCGGGTCTCCACCATTATGTATAGCCTCGTTTGCGTAATAGCCGCATGCCCCCTGCAACGCTAGCGCATTGGAGGGCATTTCGACAACGAAAAAGTTCCTTGTGACCAGAAGGGCTACACGCACGAAGGTCCACGCCGAGAGAGGGTGTACCGCGTGGATTTATATATGGTCAGTTCACAAAGTGAAGACGAAGGAGGGAAGATTCCTGGCTCCACATGCAAAAGTGTTGCAAGCTTCACAGGTAGAGGTTGCGGTTGAAACGTTCAAAGCGTGGATTGTCACGCTGGGACTTTTGCCAAGTTCGATTTCAGAGTGGTTTTGGTAGGTTAGGGTGAAGAAATTTGGATATAAACCGGGAGACAGATTCAAGATGACGGCGCCAGATCCATGCTTGGAGAAAGGTTTTGGGGGTTTTGCGACGAATGGGGTTTAAAGTAAAGGTGTCAGTTCAAATTTCTGGAGAACGCGTGCAACAATCATGTTGATTCGTGTTTGCGTGGAAGACGCCGTGAGAATTGAACAAGTTGTCGTTTTACACGCGCATATTTCTTGGATGTGCTTCCCATTGGAAAGTGGCACTGAGGCGAGTCAAGGGACTTTGGTCGTCGCAAGACCTTCACCGCGCAGATTCAAGTGTCGCGCAGCCCAACCCGCGTCGCAACATTTTTGCTCCTGTGGCTTGTGGTCGTTTTGACGGTTTCGGGGCCGGCCATCTTTTTCTCCATGGCAGAGGCAGAGTTCAATTAGACAAAAAAAGCGTTTGCAAAGGCTATCTAATCGCGGCATTCATTTCCTTTTGCAAGACATTTTGCAAGTAATGCCATGAACGGTAGCTTTAGCTACCTGAGTTCTATCTTGCGTAAGCAATGCGGGCTGCGTTGTTGAAAGTGCTTGATTTTATGTTTACGGTTCGATTCTATTCATTATAGGGGGCGCCGGCGCCATCATCATCATGATCACCATCATCATCGTTCTCTTAAGAAGAAGAAGCGAACGCTGACTTTACTAGATGCACATACATGATGTTCACTACCTGGGCATCCCTTTTTGGGACGACTTTTTCGGGATATTAGCAACACAGCATGACTCACGCTTTCCGACTTAGGTTCATCATCAATATCTCATTTTCATCCTAGTCGTCGTCGTTCTTCTCCTCCTCCTTCTCCTCCTCCTCATCGTCGTCATCATCGTCATCGTCATCGTCATCGTCATCATTATCACCACCCTTAACATCATCAATATCTCATCATCATCATCATCACCGCCACCACCACCATCATCATCATCAGCCAGACATTTTTCTCTTTGCCAGATGATTGGTTGCGTCTTCCATGATAGACGCATGATGGATCCCCTCCCGAAGTTCCTTCAAAACTGTTTGCAAAGTTTGCAAGTTCCTGTCTTCAGAGTGGTAACTTGAAACGCTTGAGGCGGTCCCTCATCACAGCATTTACGACCTAACCTTGAAGATTTGCCACGAAGGTGCTCCAAGGATCGGTCTTCTGGTCGACCTCCTTTTGGCTGGCAAGTTGGTGCAATGGTTTTCTTCAAAGACAGGGTTGAGGCCGACAACCCTCTTCATTTTCATGCACCTCTGTTCGCAATGGTTCTTGCCTATGATGGCAACTATGATCTTGCACGAGAATTGCGCTGGAGGTTGGAAAACTCTTTGGGATGTTTGCGATCGGAGGAGCAGTAGACACAAACTTTTTGACTGGATGGTCTTTGATACGAAGGTCTTGACAACGGCGGAGATTTGCAGGACACCCCCTTGGAGATTTCTCGACGGAAGTTGCAGTCGATCACTCCTTGAAACTTCTTCTCGCTTTGTGCTGGAAAAACTTTTCCTGAAAGCAACAATTCAGCCTGTGCTGCTGGGCACCATTTGGCTAGTCATGAGACGAAAAGGCTGTTGGCAGCACACTGCAGCTCAGGAGGCTGACGGTGGCCAACACTGCAAATGCTGCAGCTGGAGCGGTTTCAAGAGTCTTGCGACAAAGACCATTCTGTCTGTTTCGCAGCATGCCCAATTGAATACCTGGCTTGAAGTGATTCTCACTTTGGGACCACTGGTTCCTTTGGTGAGTGTCATGGCTTCAGCGTGTGTTGCCACCAACTTTGTGCTCTTCCATCTTGCGATGTCCATGGATGTGAAGGTCAAAGAAGATAAGGACGACATGAACAACTCGCTGGCAGGTTTGTCTCTTGGACATTTACGCTTGAGCCTCATGGCTGGTTGGTTTTTTCAGCTGTGGCACGCCTACAGCACGCGCATGTTTGGCCGCTCCTTGTTGTTTGCAATGGCCTGGATCCTTTTGCCGGAAAAGGTCTTGAAGAAGGTCCCGAAGGTCGAACTCTTCCAAAAGTGGATGAGACAATTCTGGAAGCTCGCCAAGCAGGCCAAGTCGCCCAAGCACGAGGCAGTCGAGAGTGCAGATGGGCCGAGTTTCATTTTACAAATGTCGGAGATGAACAGGCCACTGGCAGAGCCTGCGCAGGCAAGCTTGAGGGAGTTAGTTTCTGAGAGAGCGACCCCAAATGATATTTCTAGCGATCGAGTCCAGAAATATGCAAGAATGTTATTTTTCTGCAGGGTTGTGGGAGTAGGCCCATCAACTTGCAGGCAAGCGAGATTGGTCAAACTACTCGAGCAGTTCGATTCACCTTCCGTAAGCACCTGCCTACAAAATGCCGTGTCGGAGTCAGCTGCGTGCTTTCTGAGAGGGCTTTTGCCACAAATGGGTGCTTTCCATTCTGAAGATGTTTCAGACCTTCATATCTTTTCCTCGGCCTCTGAAGCTTTTGAAGCTGGGTTTCAAGTCTGACCGGATGCCAGGCTCCCAGGGGCTTCCCTATTTGAATGTTTCACCTTCAAACAGCCAGAGAAAACGATGATGTGAACAGTAGGAGATTACTGTCACCCGGTCTCGATTGGAAAGCCCAAAGTGGCTTTGCGCGTTCCGCAAAGAGCAATGCTGGTGCGACGATTGGTGTTTAGATTTTGTTTGCAGCAAGAGGCCATATTTCAGCTTGCGGCGATTCGGAGTTGAAGGTCTAAGCGCCCATGTTCGAATGAAAAGGCCCGGCTCTAGCCGCCTATCAGCATCATGTTGGCCTTGTTGTAGACCCGCGTAATCTGGACCCACGGAGAGAAGACGCACGATTCTGTTGTTGAACCAAAGTGTGACAGGCATTTGTAATCTTTTGTGTCAGAAAAGCTTCCTAGTTTCACTGACACACTTGGCGTCTCTTTCACAGGCCTGTCAGACCCGGAACTGGATTAACTGTTTTGCGTGTGCCAGCCAAGTTAAACTCATAAGCTTTGATTGGAAACAGCTATCGTCAATGTACACATCACCTCAGAAAGTTTTGCAAAGGTTCCAGAATCGGTCACGGCCTTCATGTCGTTTCACATGGCCATCAGACGATGCCATCCCTACGCAGAGTGGTTTCAGACTGGTCGCGCGCTTGGCGTTAGCGACGGTCCGAACCAATGAGCATGCCAAAAGATGTAAAGAGTTTGTTTAGTCTTTTTTTGCAAACTCTTTGCCAGCCACGACCGCCGCCGAGGATACCTCTTGCAGTGGCGGTGGAGGTTTTGTGCGGTGGTTGAACGCAAGCTTTTGGGCAGTTGCTCTCCTTTTTGGGCAGGTTTTCTCACCGGCACTCTGGCCCTTTATTGTCCTTCTGGTCGTGTGCCTGGCTGTTTGGGCACTCAGAACTCTCTGAAGCTTTTGTTCGCTTGAAACACTTTATGACTGAGATCGGTGCCTACTTCTGGATTAAAAGACGTGAGAGGATGATTCGAGCGCGTGCGCAGGACAGATATTCGACAGCAGATGAACTTTCAAGCAATATGTTCCTTGTGTGATACATAGACCACGGGTGCAAAACACTCACTCGTATTTGCTAGGAGGAGGCACGGATGCAGAGCAGTATGTCAGAGGTGCAGGGGTTTGCAGTCTTTGAATCCTTTTTGCTATGTCAGCTGCTATGTGTTTGACCCGTCTCGGCTGAAATCAAGATAGGTTGCGCCGTTTTCCTAAAACAGTTTAGGGAGTTGGGAGCTTTGATGCTAATTCATGCGCACGTAGGATTAATCAACGGCCCCCCCCCTTCAAGGTCAACGAGGTCAACAAGGTTTGAGATTGAAGGTATTTGAGGACCACATCCCCCTAATAAAGGTGATGACCTGATGATGGATGATGAGATGAGGACCTGGACCTGATGATGGATGATGGTTGATGGGATTCTGTGTCATGAGAACCATGAGAACCATGAGAGCTGTGAGAATATTGGCCCAAGGTTGATAGAGATTTGATAGGATGAGGATTGCAGGGTGAAAGCAATAGAACACAGAATGAGGCCAGAGGGTGGGACTGATTAATAGGGGGAGGGGGTCCTAGTATTGGGGGGGGGTAGGGTCTGTGTGAGGGGTACCCTTTGTGAGCTTGAACACTTGAAGTTTTTGATAGAGCTTAAAAGGGGAAGAAAATAATTTTGCTAGATATTTTTTGGGGATGGCTGGTAGCATGAGCCCTTAGAAGAAGCCATCAAAAGGATTGGTGAGCAGGATGAGGTAGTTGAGAGGTGGTGGTGAGAATCAGGAAGATGAGGAGATTGCTGCTGGGAAGGATGAGAAGATCAGTTTCACCATGGACCAGCTAGGATTGATTAATAGGGGGAGGTTTCTGGTAGAGACAAAAAGTTATTAGGGTGATGTACACGTGGAATTCAGGTTATAAGTTAGTTTAGTATTGGACGGGTCGAACTGGGGTTGATTTGATTAATAGGGGGTGGTTACTTAATCCTAGGTGCGCATTACAGTAGTCATCCCAGCGGTTCAGATTGAGCAAGGTCGGGCGGAAACTTCCAACGCCAAGCCGCAACAGCTTTAAACTATGTTGAAGCAACCTTTAGACCCTAGACAAATATTTAACGTGAAGACAGAATTGTGTTTGTCCTTTGTGTGCGGGTCATCACCATCATGCTTGCGTGTTGGAAGATGCACTTCATGGCAGTTTGGTGCTGATGGGGGGTTGGGAATGTTGCTCGCTGACATTTGTGTGGCCTTAAACGGACTATCGCCACAGCGGCTGACAGAGCTGAATTGTTCCTGACGCGGCAGTGAGTCAAAAACATTGAACGTGGAACAAGATCGCGCAAACGTTTTGTTTCTGAGACATGCCAGGTTCCATACTCGAAGTTGTTCTGGTTGTGTTTGCAGGTTCCATATTGCGTCCCATAACTCAGACTACTTGCTGGGTTTGTTCCAGACACGAACAATGTGGTTGGGCATCTCATGGTACTGTGTAGGGATAGTGAAGGACGTGTCCTCCTTAGGGTTCAGCGTGAGCCCCGGAATCTTGGCTGTTGAGCGCCCTGCCCAGTCGCTACCAGTCCGCACTCCAATGTTTAAATCAATGTTTGGCGTCATCATTGTTTACAGATGTCGAACTTCTAGTGTTGAGTGGCTTCGTATCTCATCGAACGCATGATGCTATGGTTGGTTCTGTTGGTTATTTGGCGAGCTCTTTTGTTGCGTTCCCGATGTCCTGTCCGGTGTATGTCGTCAATTGGTTTGTCTACTGCTGTGTGTGCTCGTTGCTGGGAGGATGCACTTGTTCCTGGCGCTGGAGCTGCATTGCCGTCAACCTTCTTTGCCTCTTGCTGCAAGAATCCTGAGGAGTGGCATGCGTGGGTGGACAAATCTGAGCGAGAGCAGTTCAGTGATAGGTTCTGCCAGTGACCAGGGCGGCGACCTATGGGGGAAGGCAATAGGGAGTTTCAAGCAGAACTTGAGTAGAGTGTTCAGGGTGTTACGCCGCAGGCCACCGTCGCTTCAAGTCTTTTGCCATTGTGACTACATGTTGCCTTCAATTAATTAAGCCGCGCTAAACTTGAACATGCGTCCACACCCAACCTGCTTCTGTTGGGGTTTGACTAGACTTAGAGTGCTGGTGGTCTGCTTTGTTTGGGATGTGAGTGAAAGGTTCGATGTTGCGTGAACCCGTTCGAGACTACTGTTCATGTATCTTGCTTTCAGAATACCCAGGCACCCAGCATAAATAGCTGTCCAGTTCATGATCGTAAAGCTGCGTAGCTTTTCCTACTTTGCTTCCCACAATGGCTCTTGACTCTTGACTGTTTGGTGGCTTTTGTGCGGAGCGCATGGTGATTGAAATCTTGTCCGAGGTCGGGGTGCGAGGAAGGTTGCCGGAAAGCCTAAAAAGGATCGTCGTCCTGGCCCCGTGGTTTGAATTCTGACCGCTGCCAATTCGGTTCGGCTTGAAACTCAATCAGTGTGGTTCAAGACAAGAAAGTACAGCAGGCATTTGTTCTTTTGAGTATGTAGATAGGAAGATCTTTCACGTGGACAAAGTGTATTTTCAAGCTTGTTTTGCATTTCTCTTCGCCGGGTGATGTCGACCGTATTGAGTGATATGTGTTATTTCGGGTGTGTGGGGGACACACGCGTGGCTGCGCGTGTGTGTAGGTACGTTGTATTTGTTCCCGGTTTTGCTAATTGCAGCCGTTCAATATATAAGTTGAATTAAATCTAGGAATCTAGGGTCCAATGCACCTGCAGGGCCCATGATGTAGAGACCAGCGAGGTAATGGCCAAACGAGCTCGTCCTATCTGGGAGCAAGCTTTGGACTCTTCCCACCACGTGTAGGGCGATCCAGGATGGCAAAAAAAAGGAAGCAATCCACGCTGTAGAGAGTTGGCGTGATTTTTTTCACAGGTTGAGACCACGTTCAAACACCTCCACCCATGGGAATGGGTGGGGCTTTTTCTCACCTTGGGATGCTTCATCTCCAAGGTGGAGAAAGCGTACTGGCTGCGCAAGGTGAAGTGGGATGGTCTGAAAAGAGGTGGTTCTGGCAGCTATTACGGAGGACGGCAGGGCCTTTAAATGGGCGTCGGATGAGCTGACGATGGACAACGCCTTCAAAGCCACCTGGATTGAAGTCTGGCTGCGGCTGGTTTGCTTCCAAACTCATAGCAGTTATACACTCTATCTCTATCTCAGTCGATTCAAGGGGCTGGCTATTCGCGTTGGACTTTAAAAGCTTGCGCTAAGTTTTTCAGGCTGCCTGACAGGGACAGATCGCTGCCCTGTATGTCCACCAAAAGCATTGCTGATGAGACAAGCTCAGCTTTGATGGCTTTTGTGTAGATAAGCTGTTTAATCTAAGATTTCTTGTTACATAGAGTGCTATTATCTATC